CCATACCCTGATGTGCTCTATGGTTTCTGTGCCTGGCAAACAATCCTTTTTTTCTACCCTCCCCACCGTAAAAGACTTTAGGTCTGGCAACCTATTCAGTTCAGACCAGGGCCCAACTTTCCTTTGCTACAAATGAGAGGGGCATCTCAGGTGTAACTTGGAGAGAAACAAACTGAAATTCTGGGCTCTCCCATAGCAGTCTGGTAGGAGAAAGATTCCAGGAAAGGATCAGGGAGATGGAATCATGACATAGTACAGCAAAGGTGCATAATGTCTGCTAATGTTACAGCACATTAAATGAAGTTGTAAAATAGTAGGTTAAAGTTAGGCCATAACACAAGAAGTATGAAAAGCAAGGTGCCATTTTTCAAACAAATTAGTTCATTATATGAATTATAAGGCTTAGGCTGATTTAGCGTGTTGGTCTCCAATGAGGCTGCTGTCCCCCACCCCCCACATCTTTCAAAGTTCACCCCAATGAGCATGAACTCCAGTTTACTAATACCAATTCTTGATTGAGTCCTTAATATACTTCAGGCCCACAAACATGATTTCTTATCCTTCCACCAGTTCTACAAGCTGAGAATCTTGTCTCACTTCACTGAAGAGGAAACTGACATTCAAGGGAGTTGACTGATTTGACCACAGCAATGATTGACTTCAATGGGGGAAATTATGGTCCCTACCAGTTAAAACCATCTGACTTTTTTTTTTAAATCACAAAAGCAAAACCAGAGAAGATCCCTTTGATCAGATTTTCTGCATGGGATGAGGAAACAGATTTTCTTCCTGGGGCAGCAAGGCAATTGTTGCTTTTCTCAGCTCTCTCAGGAGAAATAGATGGTTATTTTTGAAAATGGAGGAGGGAAAAAGTACCTGAAGCCTGGATGCATCTTGCAAGCTTAAAAGAGAATTAAGACATAGTGAGAGAATGGAGAAGAGGGCACGTAAATATTCATGAAGGGCTCACGTTTTGTTTTTGTTTTCCTGGCAAACAAGCCAACACCATAATAAAGAGAAATACCCAGAGTGCATCCCAAAGTATCAAAACACAATGTGGGGAACTGGACTGGGGAGCAAGAGGCAGATGACCACAGACCTGGGATCCACAGTAAGCGTGCAGACCTACTAGCAGGAGACAATCTCCAAGGCTCTTGCAACCCAGTAGATCCAAAGGAATTCCTAGGTGAAAGGGACAAGAGATAAGGCAGCAGGGCCCCACTCCCTTAAATCTCAATCTCTCTCTCTCTCTCTCTCTCTCTCTCTCTCTCTCTCTC